TGAAATCTTGTTTTGCTTTTATGCATTCCCAGTTCATCAGCACACTCCTGACTTTGAACTCTTCTACTTTTTTCATAAAAGAAGCAACTTGACAAACAGTATAGCAGAGAGCCACAACTTTTTCTCTGACATATTTGAAAGATGCTGCGGGTGAAAATGCAAATGTCCCTAGTATTCCCTCCTGAATTTTTGCAGAATAATTTCACAGTTACAAGCAGGTAACAGTGAAACACATATATTTTAAAATAAATGCTGTAAACTCATATGTAGCCTATAAACCTTTTTCACGGCAACCGGAAGCTGTATCTGATAGGGCTGTGGCACTTCCTGTTTTGGTGACTGTAATTCAAGAACTCTGAAAAATGGCTCTCCTCCTCCGTGTAACATAGTTAATGTTGTATAGAATTCCACTTGCCATTACTTCCAAGTTTGGGTTCAGGTGTAATAGGTGAAACAGCCCCACCTCCTGGTGGTTGGCAACGTTAGTGAACACATACTGCATCTCGTTGCCAGTTCATGAGAGATGGGTGCGAGGTATGTTCACTGAGAACATTGTAAACTGGACTTATTTTACTTCAACACCTTCATTGATGTGTTCATGTCAATGCAATAAGAATTATAAAATGTGTAACTAACCCTTTTGTTCCTTTGCATTTCAAATATACAATCTCAAGCTGTGAATCACTGTAAATAGTTGTTACTCATGAAACATACAGATGTGCAAATGTCTTTAAAAGGCAGTTGGATAATTTACAAAAAATTGTTTTCTTAACTGCAGTTGTCTTGAAACTTATGTTTAAACATTTTTCTCCTTGAGGTTCTCTTAAGTATTTTTTTAAATCAATGTATGGTGTACAATTATAAAATATGAAACAGTTATGGATTTTTTTGTTTTTACTAGATATTGTAAATTGTACTTGATTTGTTTTCCTTGCAATTCAACTTAATACAAAAAGAAAGTCAAGTATGCTGCTAAAGTGTGTTTTAATTGAATATTTTTTGCAAAAGTCCAGACATTTAACTTTTTACATAGCAGTACAACAATTAACATACAGAAATAATTTAGTCTGCAACACAAAATGGGCCTTGATAATTTGCCAAAACACAACAGTTGTGCCAGATTTCATTGACAGTTCCTATTAAAGTGAGAGGCACCGGGGAATCCCAGATGTGGTAGCACTTTACGCTAGCGATTGCTCGCTCTACAATGATCCGCAGCTGAGCAATGGTCTGGGTCTCCTCTGTCTCTTCCTTGCTGAACTTGCCAGGATACCTAAATGGTGGAATGATGAGTTTGGCTCCAACTTCATGAAGGAGGTCTTGAATGAGGAAGTCTTTATCTGCCAGGACTTCATCTCCCAGCTCAAGCAGAGGAAGGATTTCACTGACCTTTGTTGTCGGGAGATGCAGCCTGTATACAACTCTGAAATAAATGTCACCAACCCACAGGGAGCAACTCCAATCAGCCCTTTCAGAGTGGTGTGGTTCTTGTAGGCAGAGAACGTTTCAGACTGAAAGGTGAGGGATGATGGTATTTCCAGAGCAACTTCTGTGCAGTACAAGATGACACAGACATTTGGAGAGAACTTCAGAAATTTCTGAGGCATACTGGCTTTTATCTTCTCACGACTAATCCACAGGTTGATGGAAGAGAACACAATGAAGAGGTAGTTGGCCCAGGTGATGGTCACTCGGCTGACAGTAGCTATGCTGACTTCAAACATGTCAGCAATGTCATGCCCACTGCTACCCTGAATGAGTACATCAGGATCTCATCAATCAGAGGCATGCAGCAGGCAGGGCTGGCTTCAGCACATGCTTCCTCTCCAAGTTTCTGTGCTCTGGTCCAGTACACCAGGCGTGATGCAGAGGGTGCAATGGACTCCCAGAAGATCCGGAACACACATTCAGATGGAAATTTGGTGTAGAACCGGATCTGGTCATCAGAGGCACAGTAGCGGCTAAAAAGTGTGGCAGACAAATCCACTTTTTGAAATCTGGCCTCCAACTCCTTAATATAATCCAGGGCTTTATCAAGTGCACCTGTAAAACCATAAAATAAAATAGCAAAACATACGGTTAGCAATAAGTTTTAATTATATATTTGAAACATTACTTCTGTTTAGATCAATACATGTTGTGAGTCGGAGCATGTATGTATACAGCCATTGACTTAATCTCTCCACAAAATACATAACCACATAATCTCATTATTATGTGAAATAATAATAATAATAATAATATAGCAACAGTTATTTTACTGAAATTCTCTTACATGGAAAATATGTACAATGTACTATCTTTTACCTGCGGGTGGATGTGTCGTGTTGTTATTGTCCGCAGTAGCATCTTCAGCCTGGCTAGATTTCTGAGAGGACAAACTGCCGTTTCTTAGCCCTCTCGAAAGCAGACTCTCTCATTGCCGGTGCAGTGAAGTAATTCCAGACAAACAGGGAAGGAACAGCTACACTTTAAGGCGGCTGGTGGTGGATCCGCTAAAAAAATCCTGCGGTGTGAAGTGGCGGCTACATACGAAAATGCTCCCCGTCTTTATGCAAAAGTCCGGACCTTCATCTCTTCGGATCGCCTGGATCCACTGCTTCCGTTAGTCCAGGTCCGTCGGGAACGCATGATATGACAGATAAGGCTGTTTTCTTGCTCCACATGAAGAACCAGGGACTGAAAAAAAATAACTGTGCCAAGACCGAGCCATTTTCGTAGCCTTTTAATGCTAGCGCTATAGCCACCGGATGTTGTCCAACCTCACATCCGCCCCGGGCCCGCGCATGCGCACATTAGCCCCAGCCCAGCGCATGCGCACATTAGCCCGGCCCCGCGCATGCGCACAACCGTCCCGGCCCCGCGCATGCGCACTGTCGTCCTGACCCCGCGCATGCGCACAACCGCCCCAGCCCCGCGCATGCGCACAACCGCCCGAACCCCGCGCATGCGCACAACCGCCCCGGCCCCTGGTGGATGTGCCGTGTAGTCATGGTCCGCATTTGCATCTTCAGTCTGGCTAGCTTTCTGAGAGGACAAACTGCCGTTTCTTAGCCCTCTCGAAAGCAGACTTTCTCATTGCCGGTGCAGTGAAGTTATTCCAGGCAAACAGGGAAGGAGCAGCTACACTTTAAGGCGGCTGGTGGTGGATCCGCTAACAAAATCCTCCGGTGTGAAGTGGCGGCTACATACGAAAGTGCTCCACGTCTTTATGCAAAAGTCCGGACCTTCATCTCTTCTGATCGCCTGGATCCACTGCCTCCGTTGGTCCAGGTCCGTCGGGAACGCATGATATGACAGATAAGGCTGTTTTCTTGCCCCGCACGAACAACCAGGGATTGAACAAAAACAACTGCGCCGAGCCTGAGCCATTTTCCTAGCCTTTTAATGCTAACGCTATAGCCACCGGAGGTTGTCCAACCCCACATCCCCTTTCAAACCCGGAAGCGTGAAAAAGGTCTATTGCAGCCAAAGTTTCATGTCACGTTTTTGAGCTCCTGATTGTAGGCTGCACCCTGTTCATCAGACTCACCCATCGCATGTGCTTATTCAGCTGGAGTGACTAAGAATTGCGCCCAATATCTATTGCATTTGCCCATTGCATCACATTCAGTTCAATTGGATTGATTTGTATCAATTTCTTATTTATTTTATTGATTAACAAACACTTTAGTTAAGCAAATTAATTGCTCTTCATTTTATTTTAAACCTTCAGACCGAAGGAAACTGATTACAAATACTTGATATGCAGTATGTTAAATATTTTATTCACTGCTTTGTGTTGGCTTCTAAAATAAAATTCTATCAAAACAAAAAGTTAATACTTGAAAAACAAAGAGTTGAATTTGAGAGAACTCAGCTCAAGGATGAGTAGTGACTGAACAGTGCTGTTATGCTTTGCTTACCTGAATGTAGTGGCAGCATTTAAAGTAGTTGTAATATTAATATTTCATTTTCTGTCACACTAAAAGCCACGCAGTTTTAACCATTAGCTGCAAATAAAGCCATACATATTCTGAACTGTAAAAAAAATAAACAAACATCTCTAATTTACGGTAAAATACTGGCAGCTCTGTTTGCCAGAACTTTACCGTATGTATACGGTAAAATTGTGGCAACCAAAACTGCCAGTATTCTATTGTATTTTTAAAATACAGTAAAATACTGACAACCGCAGCTGCTGGTATTTTAGTGTATTCTTACAGTGTGGGTAGTGTCTCTACGGTGTGGTATATCTGATATTTTTCACTGACCTTTTCAAAATTCTTCCAGTGGAGTCAGATTTGATGGAGAGAGCTTCTGTGAAAATCTACTTTTAAATCTTGACATTTCCCCAAACTTTCATTCCAGTGCATTTTTTTCTTGGTTGTATGAGCTTATTTATAGAACTTCATGACATCCCTTTGCAATTATGTGCTGTTTATCGTAACATAATCAATAAACCCAGATTACCCCTTTAGATGACTTTAAAGTGTACTCTGTGTTGTATAGGTGAATTTCAGGGTTCCTTGTACAGTACACCTCTTCACTTCTCTTCACTCAGCCCTCTGACATATCTAGTTTTCTATTTAGAAGGGGGAAATGCAGACAACAGCAGAGGGCCAGTGGTTAGCTGGATGAATGTTTTGCTAGCTGTGTGTACTGCTGTGAAGATCATTTTCATGATGTGTGTGATTGGCTCTGTGAGCTAGCGCGTCAGTGTCCATTCAGGACTGAACTTTGGGCTACTTTGGCTTTGTCAAGAATTGAATGACTAGATTTCAGAAAAGATGTTGCTCAAGAGATAGTTGGAGTAAGCTATTTAAGGCGTCTTTGCAGTTGAAGCTATGGCAACAAATTATTCAACGTCGTAAACAGGCTGAACGGGGTGAGAAAGACTTCAAAATTCCTACCAAATTTAGGGAAAGGAGGCGGGTGGTCAAAGAAAAGACGGTGGGAGGAGGGTTGATTCTGGCCTCTGTCCCCCTTTTCCTCTCACTTGGGCTGTCTCCTTGGTCACACACATGCACAAACACTGACAAGGGCTAAGTCCTGCTATGACTGCCATAAACATCATGGAGAAAAGCTCCCCTGTTTCTTTGGACATCACAGGGCCTGAGCAGCCCAAACTGGAAACTAGTTTAGAACTGGACTCAGCAGCAAATATTGACCCCATAGAGCAAAAGCAGGATGAGGAAGAGGAGAAAGAAGTGCAAAGCTTCACTGGAGATGATGCAAAAAGGCAAAGCTTGGATCCAGAGTGGGTGGAGGAGAGGTTCAGGATTGACAGGAAGAAGCTTGAAACCATGCTGTATGGTGAGTGAGATAGCTTTCTTGGTTCTCTCATGATCTTTACATCTTCATGTTCTGCCTTAGAAGCAACAGATTGTCTCTTTTGATGCCTATCACAGTCCTCCTCTGCATTGGCACTTGTTATCTACCTGAACCAGCGTCACCGCCTCCAGCTGCTTGTTGTTGCCATCAGTAACTGCCATGCATTAAACTCCTGTTGCTGTGGCTTTGTGATTTATGACCTGCGTTGGCTTATGCATTCAGAAGCCCCTTTTCGCTTTTTATCCTCTCTGCCTGGGAAGCGGAGGTAACTGCTCCTGTTAGTTATCGCCTCTTGGCAGCTTTATGACAAATGCCTCCCTCATGTCACTGGGGAAACTCTTTGACTTGCTCACAGCAGCCAGAGATTATGTTTGCTCATGATGGCGCGGCTCTTAAAACAATTCGACTCCAATAACTGTAGCTCGTAACGTGTTTGCAGCTTGGAGGGTGTGTGTCTGTTTGAGCACTGTCCAAGGAATAAGGCATGTTTCTCATGCTTTTCTGTTACATTGCAATTCACCTTGAATTACATGGTGTCTTCTTTCCACAGACATCTTTTGCTTTCTGAAACTGGGGGGTGTTTACATGAGGACATGCCACTAATGTGATTTACTGTCTAAAACCTGATTTGTAGTTGTCTTCCTGATGTGCAACTTTCTGGCTCCACCTCACTCTGTTCTCTTCCCATTCCTCAGCTCTGGCCTGTGTAACCCATAGCGATGACAAGGCGAGGTGGGGGGGACTGTTTCTAAAGCTCCCCTTGAATCCTGTAAATGTTACCAAGGAGCAATGGCCTTTTAAACTTGGATATATTTCCAGCAACCTCTTGTTCCACTTGCTTGGCAAAGTTTCAACAATGTTGACTTTGTACACGCGTCATGTTGTAAAAAGTTACCCTGTGAACAGAGCAACAAAAAATGGCAACCAATTCACATAAAGTAGTTTGCAGTGTTTTGTCCTCACTTTCCTCAGTTGCAGAAGAAACTGCAATTTAAATTTGAAGTGTTTTCATTAATTAAATTTTGGAACTCATATTATGTAGCTTTATTGTAGAGAGTAATATATGTATGTTTAAACTTTCAATTTGAATGGTTTAGAGGTACATAAAACCCCAAAATCAGTTCCTCAAGAAAAAAAAAAAAGTAAGGCCAGTGGAAAAATATATATACAGAAATGTTAAAACCATTTTATGATATGCACTATCACTGGACATACTTCTTACTTGACTTAATGTTTAGCAGACGGTTATAAACACCCTGCACAATGAAAGGAAGATACCAAAATAAGCTGGAATCCAAGTTCATTACTGAAAAGTGTGGTTGAATAAAAAAGGTGAAGGACTAAATTCTCAAGATATGCTCTGCTCTGAATTATTGAAAGAAATCAATTTAACAAGTATTTACAATACCCATCTGCATGCTGTCAGGTTAGGTTTGTCTTTCTGACTGAAAACATGAAAAAGTCATCAAATTTAAATCCTTCTCAATAAACAAAGCCGTTGACATATCACTCCAACTCTTATAGTCTCTGACAAGCTTTTTTGCAGATGTCATCTGGCATTGAAATGGTTTATATTTGACGAGTTCTAATTATTTGAGGTTTCAAGGCCTCCTTACAATCATCACTCCTCCACAGATTCAAACCAGGACTCTGGCTTAGCCACTCCAAAGTTTTAATTTTGCTTCCAGAGAGCAATAACAAAAGCTGCCAGGGGTATGAAAAATGGTTGTCAGAATTCATCACAAAATTCTAACAACTCCGAGATGCCTCTGAGATCAGCAAGCATCTCGGAGTGCTTTGCCCCAGGGCACATCAACATGCGGCAGGGCAGAGAAGCTGGAATAGAACCCCCAAGTTTGCAATTGCAGGATAAGTACTCTTCCCACTGAGTTACAGCAACTCAAAGACTGGAGGCAAAATACACTGTACCATAAAAAAGCAAAAACATTTTTAATTTTATTTTTCATTTCATTCACTCAATAATAAATTGAGTGAATTGAGAGATTTATTATTCCCTCAATTTTGGAAATGATTTCTTAAAAAAATCCTACGAACTAAAAATGTTATTTGTGTCTTTTCAGCTCCGGAACACGGAGGAGAGACAGGAGAAAAGTTTTTCGAGCGAGTGAGTCAATCTTCTTTGGAAGCTCTTTTATTACTAAACCCATAAAAACACTCACCAACTCACAGGTCACTGAAAATATCTAGTTTTAATATTTGCCCCAAACGCTGCATCTACTCTTTATACGTTTTAATAGAGGCGGTAATTGCACCCTTTCAAATGCAAATGTGCCTTTGTGTTCTCGGAATGGAGCAATCTTCTGTCTGTGTGACTGTGTGTAGGTGTGTTCCCTCATTACGCATACAATGAAAGTGTCTGCTTTGCTTCTCGTGTAATCTTTCACAGGTAATGAGAGAAACTAGCACTCAGGTGAAATGGCCGTCCAAACTAAAGATTGGAGCCAAGTCAAAGAAAGGTGCCAAAGTCTTTATGCGCTATTCAAACAAGATATCTCTTTTTCCTGTCATGCTCTTTACTCCTCTTCCTTGCACTATTTTACTGCGTTACATGCAAATGTGTGAAAACAGTGTGTGATTTCCAACTAGACCCTCACGTGAAGGTGGAAGGGAAGAGAACTGACGTTATGGCAGCCAAAAAGAAGATACTAGAAGTGCTGGAAACCAAGGTAACAACTGTCAACAATGTTCTGATCAATGCAGAGATGAGGCACAACATTATGACCACTTGTCTTATAGTGCTGTTTTGCAGCAAAACAGGAAGCTATCACTCTTTAGAGGATAGACTTAACTAACTCTGAAGGCATGCTACGGTGATTAATGATGAAATATGTCAGATTGATTCAACATAATTACATTTTATATAATTTATTATAGCACTAATATGACCCACATTTAGGTAAGCGGTACATATCAAAATAAAATCTGCCTGGATAGAGCCACTCTAGTTTTCAAAACGTCACAGTGAATTGTTCCCATATTCCCTCTTAGTGTTAAAAGAGTTAAAAGAGGTACATGCACCCAGTCATCCAGGAAATGTGAAAGAAAATTTGATTCATTAGACTTGGCAGCCTGGCTTTATTGCTCCTTGATTTAGTTTTATTGCTCATTTGCTAATTTTGGGATCACAGCACAGCCTCCCGGACTGGTCTGCAGCCATGCAGCTCCGACTGCAATAAACTGTGGTGCAGTGAGCATTTTGACACCTTTCAATCAGAAGGACCATTAACTTCTTCAGTGATTTTAGCCACAGCAGCTTGTCTGTTGGATCAGACCAAATGGTTTATTTGATTGATGCCTAATATATCCCACTCTAACAGGTGTCACGAGAAAGAGATAATCGGTGATATTTACTCATAATGTTATGCGGGAATGGTGGCAAGTGCATTAAAGTTTCTTTGTTTAAAAAGTAAAATTTCTTAATTTTTTGCTTCGGAGTGAGTATGTCGTCTCTGGATATTTGATTGTGTGAATAACAGGTGAACAAGGTGACTCTGAAGATGGACGTGGCTTTCACAGAACATTCCCATGTCATTGGAAAAGGAGGTGGGAACATAAAGAAGGTGATGGAAGTCACATGCTGTCACATCCACTTCCCCGACTCGAATCGTCACAACGCTGCAGGAGAGAAGAGCAATCAGGTTGAAAGACAGCATTTACTGTCCTGTTCATTAAGTTGGGATATAACTGGAAAGTTCATTTATTTCAGTCAACTCACTGAGCACATCTTGAAGATTAAGTACACACGGACCGATGCTTTACATATATTAGCTGTGATGTTTTTATGATTAACATGTGTCATTTTACTTTATTATTTTAATTAATTAATTAACTTTTTTAATACAAATATCCAGGCTTAGTGAAAAGTATTTTGCTTAAGAGTTGAAATTTTCTAAAGGTACTTTTATTCTGACAAAAGACTCATCAGAACAGATACTTTTACTTATTTATTGACAGCGATAAGACCCTCCTCTTGGATCTGATTGGTCGTTTCTGACTTAGCGTGTACTACTAAAGATGACAGAAGAAAAACAGGAGAAGACAGAGAAGCCTTATTTTCTCACACTGTCTCGACATAGTGATAGTTTCAACATATAAATTAAAAAAACATATGTTTTTTTTATAATATAGTTAAATACTGCAGCTTTAAAGGTAACTGAAAATAAATTTAGTTTTGTCTGTCGGCCTTATTTTTTCCAGGTTTCTATCGCTGGCCCCATAGAAGGGGTGGAAGAAGCCAGGAGGAGGATAAGAGTGAGTAGTCAATCTGAGCTGGGACTTTATCTCAGCACTCACTTCTTCCCTGCTGTCAGATGCATGGATCAATACTGCAATCAATGGGATGACAAGAACAAATAATTCTGCCTATTTGTCCAAATGCCAACCTTTTCTGCAGTCTGTCTTGGGTTTACACTCATTTTTTCGTTGACTTCATCACACCGTAGGACCTTCAGCCTCTCTCTCTGACCTTTGACCTGCCAGTCAGCCTGGTACCCCAGGCTCTGCCAGATGCAGGCTCCCCACTCATCCAACAGGTGGCGCAGACTTTGGGGGTCAGTGTGGGTTTCAGGCCTGTGCTGCCACTGCCCCAAGCCCAGACAGCCTTTTACGGAAGCTCCTGCACAGTTTGGGGACTGCAAGGCAACGCAGCTGCTGTCAAGGTTACTTTCACCTCGACCGCTCAAATATTTTCAAATCTTGTGTCTGTCCATGGTATAATTTTGGTGCATATAAATTGTTGCCTGACAGAAGGCGACGTGCATCCTGATGGAGCTCCTGCTTGGGTCAGAGGCCCCAGGGGGGATTGTGAGCAGTCAGCTGGATGTCACCGCTCAGCAGCATCTCTTCCTGCTGGGACAAAATGGTGCAAACTTTCTAAGTGTTATGCACAAGACGCAGACCCAGATCGTTCTTCCAGACCTTAGTGCCCCTCAAAGTCCCCCCTCATTGCTCATTCAGGGCAGCCCTGACGGAGTGTGTCTCGCTCGGCAACAGCTCATGGTACACATGCTTTTTGTTGTTTCAGTCGCACGTTGCTTCTGATACTGCCACCAGAAAAGTCGCAGCTGTTTTTGTGTTTTGCTTTTTCTATTTATTGTGAAATACATGCGCACACATCTAGGATTGCCTACCAGTGTGTTTGATGTTTGACATTCGGGAAGACGGGGAGGGAGGCCCTTCCAAACTGGCTCAGATGATGCAAAACCTCGGAGTCTTTATTAGCGTCAAGCCCAAAGTGAAACAGACAAGCAAGGTGAGTGCCATCCAAATAACTATGCACTATTTTCCATGAAACATCATTAAAAATAATAAATGAAATAATTCAGTTTTTTTTGTTGGCACTCAGCTCCATCTGTTTAAACCTTAATTCAGTCTAGGACCAGGTTGTTATATTGTGCTCCTTTCATAAGGGCTGTTTTATTTTGTATTTATTTGAAATTTCTTTCCTTTTTTTTTTTTATAAAATCCCATTTGTTTAAATTTAGGTGTAAATTAATTCACCACATTAGATCCATCTGCTGCAGTGGGCAGAATACTGATGAGGGAAAAATCTGTGTTGATGTATATTTATCAGTCAGTGGTGGTGAAGGGTCTGGAAAGGAACATCTCCTGCATTTATGAAGCCCGGCGTCTGCTCCTAGGACTTGATTCCTCTGAGACTGCCAAGATAACTACAGTGAACCCTGACCTCATGTCACCCGATGGTAGACTGGCAAACTACTGGCTCGACATGTTGCTGCAGCAGCTTGCTCTCTCTGAACAGGGTATGATAATGTGAATATGAGTGGATGTCCAGCCGTCTGAACTTAGCTTCAACCGAAGAAAATATTGCAGTTCACCATAGCTGAATCCAAAATTTCAATCTGAGCTACAGATTAGCTCTAATTTATAGGGCAATTTTAAAAATTTTAAGGGATTTTGACTGCATTTTGGTCATTTGGTGTTTCTGGTTGTAGGTGAGTCGGTGGGAGGATACAAACTGGCTTAGCCAGGTCATCATTCTTGCAAAAACCACTACTGCCCCATCAAATAGGTCTGCAGAGCTAACTTATGTGACAGAAACAAAATACTGAGACAACCAGTGAAAATGTGACTGACATAGTTGTGTTATCTTGAAACATGATTACAAAAACTTGCGTGAAAAACAAAAGAAAAATATGAATGCATAAATGGATACTCCAATATGACTATTGTGGACTAATTACAATAACTAAGCTTTATTTAATGACTGAATTAATCTCATTCAGAGAGAAAACATTCTTTCCCAGGAAGTCTGAGGCTGAGTTAATTGAAGTTTTGCACCTGCAAACATGTCCATCTAGAACAGAAATCCCTCACTAAGGAATTCTGTGTGCACTGGCACAGCTTGGCCACACTGAAATAATGCACTATGCATGTTTCTGACCTTCCTGATCAGGCTCTGCACCTGTTCAAACCACAGAGGTGCTGACTGGAACTAAATCCCACCTGTCAGCTCCACCAGGCCTCACTTCTCCAACAGATGAGGGCAGGACAGGACTGAAGGGAACAGACAGTCGGCAACTGGAAAAGGTGAGTCACTGTCTGTGTTAAAAAGGCTTCAAGGGTGAAAACTGACCAAAAGGTCTCCACAGAATACAAAATGCATTCTTACCCTTTCCTATAGATCCTTGAAAGTGAGAATCAGTCTGACCAATCTGAGGAGGAGAGCATTGAGGTTGTGAGGATGCCACCATCTGAGGTGTGCAAAGCAGGAAACAACAACAACATCAGCAGGGTGGGTCAGAATGGTAGGAGGGGGAGTCTCCAAGGCCCAGAAATCAGCAAAACACACAGCCAGGGCAGACGGCATTCCACAGGGCAGGCGCTGACATACAGGTGAGCCCTCGGCAGTAGTACACCAACATCTGGTTCATTTATCCTCAGTGTTTTCAGAACCAAGATTTAAAAGGTGGAACTCTAATTAGTATTTTAAAAGAGTAATATATTATATATCATCTGGTCAACCTTGTGAAAATCAATATGTTGGTCTGCTTTTCTTCGGGGCTGGGGGGGCAGCTGAATGTTTGGGATGGTAGATGCAGGAAAATACAAAACAGTACTGGTGAGAGAGGTTTACTTTATAGCTGAACCTTGACCCTTGACATCCATCTAGATCAGACGTGCCCAAAGTCGGTCCTCGAGGGCCGGGATCTTGCATGATTCAGTTCTCTCCCTGCTGGTAGCAACAACCTTTTCTGCATGTCAATGTTCTGCTTAGGCCTTCTAACGATCCATCATTGGATCCAGGTGTTAAACCAGGGAGAGAACTAAAACACACAAGATGCCGGCCCTCAAGGACCGACTCTGGACACCCCTGATGAGTTTGGCTTCTCTAGATTTATTTTAGGGATTCAGAGTGCAGGTTGAAAAGAAAACATCCCTTTTGAATTTTTTAATTCCAAAAGAAACAAAAACAACCTTGTATCATCTTCCTTCCACTTCACAACTTTGTGTTGGTCAATCGCAAAGAGTCCCAGTCAGATCCTTTGTCCCAGTCAGATGTGACTGAAAATACCACTTTTTGACAAGTGGTATTTGTCAAAAAGTACAACTTGAATTTTTTTGTCAAAGCAGTATAAATGCCTGTGCAATACACACAAATTATCAGACGTTCCACAAATTTTCACTCGTGTCTGTGCATGTGTGTGCTGAACGTGTCAGGTTGGTGAACGCAGAGACAGAGCGAGGGTGGAGTGAGCGAAGGAACAGCCTGAGAAGAGATGCTCCTCGGGCTCAAAATGTTCACACTGACTCATCTAAGGCTGGGGTGAGGAAAAGCAGAAACTGCAGCCTTTTTTCAACATCAACAACTTATGAGTATCGCTCTGTGGACCAACAATCAAATCTCACTTAGCCCTGTGGCACAGAAGATGAAAGAGAAGCGACTTTTTATGCCTACAGACGTTGATAATATAAACTGAAAAAATCAGTTTATATGACACTGCCATGCTGTTAGTTGGTTTTCACATTCTTGATCAGCTTGGAATTTGATTTGAGAATTGATTTTTGGGTTTGTTTCCTTCTGCTCCTGTTTGTCATCTTTCTCAAATGTTACAGTGCAGCGAGTTAACAAGTGTACCGCCACAGCAGCAGGAAGTTTTATGCTAGTGCTTATTTCTCCAGCAAATTAGGTTCCTGCTGTCTATCCTCAGCAAGCCTCAGCAAGCAAAGAGGAAAAATCAATTTCATGGATTATTTACCTTTTTTATTTGCTGTTTGTGCTTTGTAGGATTATGACTATGAGAAGAAGAAACTGATGGCAACAAGAGGTTAGTGCTTTCAAACTATTTTTGCCTTGATTTCTGCAGCTAGACACCTTTAATATTTGCAAAAATGCAAATAATCAGAGGATTAATCTGCACATAAACTCTAAAGCCAGAACCATTGCTGAACCCAAACAAATACATGAAAAATGACCCATTTTCAACTACTTAATTATAAAACCCAAGAAGAAATTATAAGTCAATTAAGTTCAAGCTCCTGCTGTCTGGATGTCCTACCCACACATTTCTTTAAGAAAGTCCTGCCTGTTATTGCTACTGATCTGATCCAAATGGTAAATGCATCACTCACATCAGGCGTTTTCCCCCAGGCTTTGAAAACAGCAGTCATCAAACCACTGCTAAAAAAGAACAATCTGGACAAATCACTACTGCACAATTACAGGCCAATCTCAAATCTCCCATTCATCAACAAAGTTATTGAAAAAACTGTGTGTAAACAATTAAATAGTTTCCTCATGATGACCAACTGCTTTGACTCTTTCCAGTCTGGTTTTTGTGTGCTCACCACAGCATGGAGACTGGCCTAGTCAAAGTATTCAATGATATTCATATAAATATGGACTGTGGGAGAACCACAGTGCTGGTTCTGTTGGACCTCAGTGCAGCTTTTGACACTGTCGACCACGACATATTACTGACTGGTTTGAATCTTACATAAAGAACAGGAATTTCTTTGTTTCAATTGGAAACTTCTCATCAAAGAGGTCAAAGGTCACATGTGGGGTACCCCAAGTTTCAATTCTAGGACCGCTCTTATTTAATATTTATATTCTCCCACTAGCTCAGGTTATAACAGGAAATAATTTTAGCTACCACAACTATGCGGATGACATACAGCTCTACATTATGATGTCACCAGGTGACTCTGAACCCATCCAATCACTGAATAAATGTTTAGAACAGATAAATGTTTGGATGTGCCAAAACTTTCTCCAGCTGAACAAAAACAAAACTGAAGTCATTATTTTTGGACCTAAAGAGGAACGATATAAAGTCAATGCACAGCTTCAGTTATTACAACTAAAAATAACTGTTTCTGCTTCTCCTCTCAGAACCAAGAGAGGAGAAGCAGGTTTCAGCTTTTATGCATCAAACATTTAGAACAATCTTCCAGAAAACCGTAAAACAGCGGAAACCCTGACTTCCTTTAAATCTCAACTAAAAACACACCTGTTTAGAAATGTATTTGAAATGTAATATGTAACAATGTATTCTACATTGTATGTTTATGATGTAAAGCACTTTGAAATGCCTTGCTGCTGAAATGTGCTGTACAAATAAAATTTGATTTGATTTGATTCTAAGCAGAGGGAGTGATTTCATAGAGGAAGCTCATTTCAGAGTTACTTACTGCCAGGACAACTGATACAGAGGACATGTTTATGCCAAAGTTAGAATAGAGACGTATTGGCTCTCCCACTTAATTCACACGACACCACACACATGGACCCAATCATATACATATCCATATATACTCGTAAGGAGATGCATTGCCTCATCCGTCATGCCGAATGAGAGATCCAGACGCGATCTGCAGCCAAATGGTACCAATTCCCTCTGTGTTGTTTTATGGGAATATAAATTAGCAGTTTGAATGGGCCATCTGCCTCACAGTCATTAGGAATATCCATGCTGGTGCAAGAATGGGGCATTTAGTCACACTGATATGCGTGTGCACATACAAATACTGTTCCAACAGTTATAATCATGTTCATCTTTCACTTTGTGTGAAGTGATGATGCAATTTCCGAACCAGATTCATATGTTGAGGAAACCCATTGTTTGTCACAGGCAATTTTGGCAAAAACTAACTGGGCTGAATTTAGTTAATTATGAAAAGAATTTATTTTTTCATAGTGAATATGTATATTTATAATATTAATTAGTACTATGTCTCTACAGCACCATAGTTTGTTGCATTTACTTCTACTAACATTGCAACATCTTAAATTCATCATGTGATAAGCTACATCCATAGACAAGCAGCAAATTAGCACAGGTTTGTTTTGTTTTGTCTTTGACTCAGTGGTCTTAATTTTCCCTCCTGCATTTTGTGTTGTGTTGGATTAACAGCCATGCAGAGGAAACCTGTGGTCACAGAGGTTCGGACACCCACAGACACCTGGAGTGGGCTTGGATTTTCCAAGTCTATGCCAGCTGAAGCAATCAAGGACCTCCGTAGCGTCAGCCGACGCAGCTACAAACCTTATCTGAGTGGCAACACCAATCAGCAGCAGGTGCAAAACGAGATGGAAGCTAATTTTAAATGAATGCAAAGATATCATTAAAAAGATATTGCAATATTAGTCCTAATGCTGGTCATCAATGGACCTTAATTTTAGACCTTATCAACTAAGTCCCCACAAGCCCATATCATAATACTTCTATAAGACCTGTAAGGCTGTATCATAATTCTTCCACCAAAGGTTGCAGAGTAGGACTAATACATGGCAACTCCGTATCTTACTACTGGCACTTCTGCAAAAACTAAACAGGCCCATGTCATAAACTTATCACCAAATGTTGTACATACAGTAGTCATGATAGTTGTTGTTCATCATTCAGCTTCTCTACTCTGAAAGAGCAGTATGTTAGCTTCACACTGATTGTGACGCTAACATAAGGATGGATATAACCATATATGGAAGTTAATTTCCATCCATATAGTACACGGAAAAATACAAATCCTGCTTGAAAAGCATTTTTTGATATGGCTGTTTAATGAAAAGTGAAGTTAATATCACTTAAAGTTAAGCGACACAGCTAAAACGACTCGGTGTACTATTATTCTAATGAGTGATTAAAATAAATTTGCTTTGCTACATTATTTGTTTTTACAGAAAATGTTGCTGATTTTGTTACTTTTTTTTGCCTGTGCTCCAGAGGTAGTTTTCCTTGCTACTCTCACTCCAATGCAGCCTCCGTTGTTGCTATCGCCCTGTGAGAGTGTGAAGCATTTTTCTCTCAGCATGAGTAAGCTCTGCCAGTTTGGATGCTCAATTACGTGGAATCTGATAGCATCACAGCCAGCTCAGCATTTTATTTCCAACCTGTTTACCTGTGTTGTTTTACCTAATCTTCCTGGGATCTTTTACATTACTCATGCCAGCACTTTATGGGTGCCCAGTTTCTAGCAAGGAGGAAGCATACTTACTTGAAATAATAACAATGAAGTGTACATACATTTCTAAAATACTAATGAGAAGTTTACAAATGTGCATTATGGAAACCAACCAATTGAAATGATCTGTGCCAGTTCTTTTATTTGCCACCAGAATTACATTATACATTGGTTGGCACCTATTTCTATGTGTGAGTCTGGATGTGGAATCAAACTTCTGCAACAAATCTGTTTTTAAGTTAATCATAGCTGTATGCTATTTTTTTTTACTGAAGCCAGAAAAATATAAACAGAATCATACAATTTCCCCAAATTATTGAAACATTGAATTGGATGTAACCTTTTGATTGAGTTGAACATTAAATTTGTTTGGTAACATTTTCTGTGACAGGCCAGCCAATGCGAGCTGACAGCTTTTAAACTGGATTTGATGCCATTTTTGAAAAATGTGGTTTGTGAAAACTCACCATCATTTGATCTGTAAATTGAAAACAAAAAGACAGAAAGAGGAGGTATGTCCCATTAATATCAATGTTTCTTTTCATAGTCTTGGGCTACTCAGAAGGGAAAAATGTGTCTCGGTAGCGACTCAGAGAACTGGAGGGACAGACGTGGATCCACATCTCAGATTGTCTCCTCGTCTTCCCCCTCTTCCTCGTCTCCATCCTCCCCCTCCTCATCTCCACCTGGCTTCCCTTCCTTTTCTGTGTTTTCATCCTCAATGAACAGAAGCAGAAATGACAAGTCATGTAAGTTATACCTGCTTTTAAAGTTTGGCAAATTTTACTGGCTCATAAACTCCACTTTTGACATCTAGGCGAAAACTCTGTTGGCGGATGTTTCTTCGAAGGTGCGTTCTCTGCGAGGAGGGAGTCAACCTGCAGTCAGCGAAGCCCCTCCCCCCTCGTGACGGACGACTTACCTGAGCTGCTCTGCGAACTTGGGCTAATCAAATACATTGACCTGTTTGAACAACAGGAGGTAAGGCACATGCAGAGAGTTACAACAAGAATCGCATTTCACACCAAGCTCGTTAGCACTTACAACACAGCTCGCTGGTTGAGAGGTTCTGCAGAGAATGACACAGATGTGCACATTCATTATTGACCTGTAGCCTAAACCTTATGAATTTTCAATGAGCATCATGATCTAAGCTTCTGTTATTCACACAGATTGACTACCAGACATTTCTCACTCTGTCTGACGAGGACCTGAAAGAAATAGGGATCTCCACTTTTGGAGCCAGACGTAAAATGATATTAGCTATCTCAGGTAGGAGCTGTCAGTTGACAGATGCTTCTCTTTTGTTCATTTTTGAGAAGGCTTTGTTTCCTCTTCCAGATCTGAACAAGAGCAAAACGAGTCTGTCGGATACACAACCAGTGAAGCCCGGCTACCTGGAAGGTGGCGCAAGTGGTAGACTTCCACACATCCTGGATCTGGATGTTGCAGTTCAGAGTAACCGCTGGTGAGAGGAGTCGGCAGCTTTTAAATACATCGCAATGCTGCCAGAGGAAAAAGTTCCTTCACTGCTGTTTATTGACAAGAAACTGAGAAACAAGATGCATCCTGTACACGTTATACCCAGTGGTTTATTTCAACAACAATATTTCAAAGCTTTTTGTGTTTTTGTATGACTCGAAACAAAGAGGCATTCCCCACAAATAGCCTTTTGTATGTTTGGGGTGTTGTTTTTACCCATTTTTGTATGCAGCTGCAAATTGATATTTCCAAAAGGAAATGACGTTAGTGATTAGGAAAATCCTGGAGTAAAAGCGTATTTGGTCAATGGCTGTTTTAGTCAAGCATATTCATACAAAAACTATTGTATATGAAAGGCAAAGTTTAGCTTCATTTATTTCTTTGGCATTCAAGGTTAAATAATGTTTTTTTAAGAGGCATAGAAGTGAAAGCATGCCACTAGAGGGCAGTGGTGTCCCGCTGTCTTAATGTCTGTGCTGTATGAAAAATTATGGCTTTGTTTTTCACATTAGTATTAGCTTTACAATCCCAGGTGAATAAGGTTTTAATTTTAAAATGTACCTCAGCAACAATGAGAACAAGAAAAAAGGGGGGCAGGCGGGAGGAATCTGAAACCTCAGTCACTCCAAGTTCAGCTGATTTAATTTTAATTTATCATTAGTTATTTATCAGCATACTATTGCACCCAAGTCTGCTTTGTCAAACTAGTGTAATTTACAAATTTTATTACGTTTTCTTGGATTTTTAAGGACCCTCTGCTTGCAGGCACAAGGAGGTCTTGATCTGCTCAGATGCTTCACAGCCTGGCTGGTTCAGTGGCAGCCAAGCATGAAACACAGAGAGAGAGTGACAGGAAGTGTTGGGCTGTGACAGATTAGGTAGAGATGATCCCTACTTATTACAATGTCTCTGCCAATTACATAGGCAGGCTTTAAAGCACCGATCCACAAATCTGGTCCTTGGGCTCTAGAGAACTGCTGGATTTTTATCCTGCCGGTTAGTTAATTGCGTTCCCCTGAGGTCACAGGTCTAAATCAGTCTGTGATCGCACGGCTAGAATGAAAACTACCAAGGAAAAAATGAGCAGTGCTTTGAACCCCGACAAGTGAGCCACTTGGACATTTCACTTGAGAAGTGGCAATCTGGGAACGTGACAAGGCTGCATGGTGTAAATGAAAAGCATTGCCCTGAGCGGAAGAGTCACAGCTTCTCTTGGGTTTTACTCAGGTCAGGTTTGTTACTCAAAAAAAATTTATATATCTTTTTAAAGTTCATATATTTTTTTTTAGGTTATGGGATCTTTCCAGTCATTATTTCATTTGCTAGGAGAAGATTACTCATAAGACATAATAGGGAGCATAAATTTTCACATACGCTATATGTGTCATAACTTTCACACATTTTTGTCTACATAAAGTTTTCTTAAAGGGTCTAAAAGTTTGAAACACACTGAATTATTGTTGTACACACAACAATGTGTTCTGTAAAACATAAACACGTATTTTATAAATGAAATATGTCTTATAAAGACGTAGATGCTCATTTAGGTGAAACAATAAAAGACAGATTCCCAAAGGACCCAAATGTAGGACAACATTGGGTGAGATTCATTAAACTGAAAAGAGTGAGTTCTTGTTAGCTACTAAAACAGTATTATCTATTCAAAACACTTTCTCTCACAAGATAATTAGACAAATCTGGTGCATAGTCTCCACTTCAAGGGAAAGAGCAAAAGTTTGAGAGTCAGAGCACACCCCAAAGAAATCAACATCCGTACCGTTTAGACAATTACTCTCAGATGTGAGGAATCGTAATGTTTTAGAGGTCTTCATGTGATTAAAACTACATTATGGAACAAAATTTAAAAATTGTAAATTTTAGAAAAACCTTTGTTTTTTTTCGTATAGAAAATCTGTCAGTGTGTCTGTTGCTGTGTTCTCTAGGAGCTGTAAGGAGGATATAGAAGCTCGAGGCTCGTTGATTAACCCCTTAAAGCCATAGAAACCAGAGATGTGTGTTATTTCTTCTTGTAAATTTATGAATGACTTGTTGCGCTTCATGTACAATAACTTTGTGAGAATTGAAGGTATTTATAGCTTTCATAAGTAAGTGTAGCTGAGTTGATGTTCATGCAACACTCAGCTTCAACCTCAAGGGACATATTGCCAACAAAGTTATTATATTAGCTCATATTCTAGTTAAAGACTTCACACTCAGTGATTTTTTTTTTTTGTCCTGGCTGAAGGAGGCTGATATCAGATGTCCTTTTTTAGACTTCAACTGAATGCCTGACAACCTTGTTTAAATTTTTTTTTCAATATTACAAATACTGAATATCAGACAGAAATAAATATAACTGGGCTATAACTGAGCTACAATCCCATCAGGATTAAATGGAAATGTTTTAAAAAAAAACAATTCAAGGCTTTGACGTCTTTAAAGCGCACAGAACAATAACCAATAATGAAAGAAGAATACTAACTCCCATTAAAAAAAACAACACTGTCAAAGCATCACCTGTCTCCATAGGTTTTGGGATTGTTTGGAGGATCCACCCAGCATGCGGGCCATGTGTGGACAATAACGAAGGAGCTAATAGAGAAATGAAACAGAGCAACGAAGCACCCTGAGGATAAAACATAACCACATATTTCCCTTACTGTGATGAAGATGGAACTCACTCCAGGAAAGTGAGGAGAGCAGGAAAAGAAAATAGAAACTGTAATAAGAGAGTGAGAATGAATGTGTGTGTCAGAGTATGTGTGAGAACAACAGGAAGGATTTGAACATTGCAACAGATGTGTTGCTGAAAAAAATTGGATACCAAATAATTAAAAGAGGTAATAATAGGAGTTTAAAATATGTGAATGTCATCAAATTACCTCTTGCTGTTATAATTCTTACTCAAACCATCAATATGACTTCAGAATGTAGATTCCAGCAGCTCGAAGGTTTTTAATTAAAATAAGATTGAATGTTAAAAATGTCTGGACATAAATCTACTTTTAAATGAAAGAATAATAAAATGCTTGTCTAAATTAGGAAGGAGAGAGGGACCATGGGTGTTTGTTGCGAAATAAATTTTCTCAAGTAGTGACTTAAGGATATTGCAACTTAGGTCAACAGTAAGTTTACAGAAACAGAACAAAGATTGCTGCATTTTGTCATAAATTTGAGAAACTAACAAAAATATAGCTGTAGCACTAGAAAATATGAATACATCTTGAGATAGTAATTTCCCTTTCTGTTCTTGCAATTGTTTATTGACGTTGGACATGATGCAATCATTTATTAAAGTAAATAGTACAGTGACTGTGTTTAGTAGTTTTCAATATGGATAAATTCTTAATGGTGTTAACTAGCTCATGATCTAATGGAATAAACCTTTATGCATCCAGGTTTACGCCTGTGGATATTTAAGACCAAGGATGTCCCGACTAAATCAGATTCTCAACCCAAAGCCCAACAAGGCTTTTGGAAATGATCCAAATTGTCCCAAACTAAACTCAGCCAATGGTACCTGTTGCTTGACTATTGTCTTTGATAACTTTTGTGACACCCCTAGCAGGACCTGTACCCAATTTAAACAAAGCAATCTATGTATTTCTATATGCACGACTTGCAAAAAATAAGTTCTATGAAAAGTCTGATAAGTGTTGGTGAAAAACAAATAAATTGGCACAATATAAAAATGGCAAGTGTCTAAATAAATGTTTAAATTGAGTTTTTTTAAAAATGTAATTAGTTAAAAGCTATAAGGTCTGAATTTGTCTGCAGCCTGAGCAGCAAAAGTATTAGTATTTGTGGAAAAAGCTTGACTTTAAATCTGGATCTACTTGTGTGGACTCAGATTTCCCAGTGGCTGCAGTGTTGTTCTTCACTTCCTCACAGAATCTCCAAAATTATACATTTTAATGTTTTTTTTATTTTTTCATCGCATGGTTCATTTCACTCTTTCCTTCAAATATCTAAGGAGATCCAGCCAAACAGTTGACGACAATCTTAATTGTAAAGTTCGACTAAGCTGAAAAACAAACAGCTACATTCACAAAGTCTGGAGCCACAAGTGGAATAGGTAAGGTCACTGAGTTGATGCAACCTTTGCGCATCAACTATGTGAAGCAAATTACTAATTCAGACTGGCAGTGTCTGTGGAGGACTGATGACTCAGCCTTTCCAAGCCAAAAGATTCAGTTGTCCTTTCAGCCTCTGATTGTGGGTATGATGTTTTTTCAAAGTGCTGAGCATGACTGTTTCAGTGCAGCGAGGTCAGCTGTCCCATTAGCCAACGACATTACAAAAACACTCATTAAGCCTCCATGTTCTTTTTGGTCTCTGCCGACTTTGTCATCCTCCTCTCTCAAAAGAGGCACGTGATAAGAGTGTTTTATTCCTCCACCATTTATCTCTGGCTCTAAAAGGGGATGCTGCTTTCTCAAGGCTAGAAAAGGTCAGAGCTGATAGAGGGCTTTGATTGTTCGACTGCACCGAAACCCAGGCTTTAGAAAAAGGAAAAGGGACAAGAAAGAGGAATTTGTGTGAATGTTTTTGTGGCTTTAAAGTGAGCCGAGAGACGTGTTTTTAATTCGTGATTTTCTTGTGACTTTGGATGTAGCATATAAGCCAACATGTTGAAAAGAAGAGACAAGTGAACATTGACACGTAAGGTTCAAAAGACACTCAAGGTGTCACTTTACTTAAATTTTAAAATAAATAAAAGTTTACGCAGTTGATTTCAATTCACTGAACATATCCAATGTTGGGAGGCAGAGCAGACTCTTGTCTCCGCTGGATGTCGTATGTCCTCCCAGCTCAGGAGCAGCTACCTCATCCAGTGTCCATGCACAGTCGAAAGGCCTCAGCAGACCTACCGACCACTGAGCAAAATACGAGTAGGCCGAGGCATAAAGATTTGCACTCCAGGCCGCTATCTCTCTCTGCAATACAATTTCTTACCTCCTGAGATTGGGAGAAGAACTGAAAGGACACTAGACAGCATCAACATAGCAACAGCAACATATTGTAGCAGCCAAAATAGGCATCACTTTCAGTTTGAGATGCATAGAGCTGGACCTGGCCAGGTAAATCTCTCTTTTACAGGTACAAGATGAGAAACATGCAACAACAACAACAATACATCATTAATCTCATTGTTTCCTGGGCTCTCCGAACACATAAAAAAAAAAAAAAAAAATTACAATCCTCCAAAAATTAACAGGAGTAGAGAAGGTTGGTACTGGTGGGGAATCTTGGAGCTTTTAACTGTGGCAGCAATTTGCAGAAAACACTGGAGGGAGCCCAGCGGTGGAACACAGAACACAAAAATGAGCCGCGAACATACAACAGGGAAAAGAATCCACAATCAAGCCTTCCTGGAGGAAACATATTTACATCCAATATATCAGCTAATGTGCCTGGGCTTACAGACTTACCAGAGACACCAATACTCACATCAATAGGAGAGAAAGGATGGGGACAGAGCAAAAGAAAAAAAAAGTATCTATATTTGAAGGGTGTACAAATTGGAGGGCTTTTTTAGGAGGAGTAAAAGCAAGGATGTGGACAGAAATGGGCAAATTTCTAACAGAATTTTGACAGTTTTGTTTAAAATGTTTTAAACTCTGTTTTATTTATCTGAGAAATGAGTGGAGTAAAAAGTTTGAATGAGGTTCAGTGAAGAGAAGGATTGGGTAAAATGCAGGGATTACAAGAGCAGGTTCAGAGTCCAAAGGTGGGCCGCTGCCAAGGTAGCCGGAGGAGGACAGGTTGGAATGGCTTCAGATCTGTGCTGCGTTAACAGAGTTTTCTGGTCAGCTGATGGCAAAGTAAGATGATGTAGTGGAGCTACCAGATATAACCAGTTTCATCATCCTTGTCCTCGTCCTCGTCCTCGTCATCCTCGATAGTTCCCCGGGGGTGGATCCGGCCCCGCCTTTTCTTCTGCCTGCTACGTTCACTGTGTGATGGCTCCTCCTCCTGGTCATCGAGGAGAATGACAGCACCGCCGCTACCAAAGTCCCCCGATGTCTCTGGGTCCTCATCTGTGAATAGATTACCAATAATCAAAGACAAGTACAAGTCAAGAACAACTACACGATGGATTCAACAAGAAGACCACTCTCTTGTAATATTTTAAAATAGTCTCAATCGATGGTTCCTCGGGCTTAAATAATGTATTCAAATGCTTTTTTTTTGGACTTGTTTTGCATTCATTTTCCACTACAGTCTGTTAGTTTAAAATTATTAAATATTAAATTGGGATGTGTTACGTGCAGACAATACTGTGGTTCAATTATTGGGTAATTACGTTTGTTTTGCCCGAATGATTCAAAAATTAGAGTTAAGGAGTATTGAATGAAAAAAAAAACTGACTGAAAATGGTCAAAAACTGAAATGAAGGCAGCAGAAATTCAAATTAGAAAGGAGCTTCAGAAAGCCTTGAGAACCATTGATCCAGAGCACATTATAAGTCTGGCTTCTTAAAAGCAAAAAATTATTAACTGAGAGATGACCCTGTAGTTTTGCACATGTCTGCATTTCCCACTGATGTTCCAAAATTAGGTTCCTCCCATGTTGGGATGTACAGGCGCACTCTCCCATTGTTCCCACCTCATCATTTCTTGTATTTAAGCCAAATGAGTGGAGAGCTGCGAGACTTGCTGTATCCATGGGGGAATGAGAGAACTCCAAGCTGCAATAGCCTGAAGCCATTCAGGCTGAGTCTGATGAGCTTGTTACACCACAGACAAAAGGAGTTCTGTTGTCTGTGTTTGTCTGCGTGTGCATCTGTGTGTGTTCTGTGACTGGATAAACACCTTATCAATATTGGAAGCTGCAATTACTGGCTTAGACTTGGCTGGCATTCGACTGAGCTGTAATGTGTGCTTCTGAGTCCACCGTTTGATTGGTAATCGCTATGTCTGCCTGGATTTTTGCTTGCTAATTATTCTGAGATTTTTTTTTTGTTGGGTTTTTTTTACACAGTGAAATCACTCTGGAATTGATTTGTACCAAAGTGTCATTTTGTTTTTACTTTTTTCTTTGAGTCTCAGCTGCTGGCATGCAAAGTGTGGTTTTAAAATGTAAAAACATTTTCCTATTTATATTTCAGTCTCATTACTCTCCTCCACAAAGTGTGACTCCGTTGCCATTTCTAAATCACATCTCTACGACTTTCTTTTTCACATTGCTATCCCCTGTGAGCCACAAATATTTCTATTTTACTTGCAAGATGAAAGTGGGAAAAGATATAAGAAGCAGATGAAATGGGACATCGCAGAAACTGTGAGAGTGACTCTAGAGGAACGGCCGATATGATAACTGATGTCTAGATAGAGGTGAGAAATAAGTACAGGGTGAGAGTCAAACAGAACAAAGCAGCAACGCAAACCTACAGTAGCTGCTTTCTATGTATTGTTTGACTTTGAGACACATCACAGTCTATACTATAAAATGTAAAGTATAGAACGACCTGCCTTTCTTTAAATATAAACTTATTCAACTGCTTTCCTCCAGGTGAAACTAAATATTCCCATGCAGCAATAGAGCTAAACAAAACAACATCTTTTCTACATGAGCTTGCTTAGGTGAAAAGTTCCTGCAAGATTATTTTTTTTGTTTTCCCTCGGTACAAACTCTGCTAGCTCAGTCAGCTTAAACCTTAACTTATAAAGGGGAAGATTACGTTTTTAATAGCAGCAACCTGCTTCTTTATGATCCGCAGTAGAGAAACTTCATACATCCCAAGTCCATTAACAGAAGACACCAGTACCAGCTGCCTGCCTCAGAGCGACATTTCAAATTGAACAGCTGTTTGTGCCAAATTTTCCACTCCAATTTTCCAATCTGTACACTTGCAGAGTTCCAGCCAGGATTGTGTTAGGTGTCGGAACACAGCACAAATTAAAGTAAGTGCCTTCTAGTTTTGGTGCTAAAATCTAACAGAACAAAATTAGAAGCGTTTCATTTTTCCAGACTTTCTTGTTTTAGTTATTAGAACTTAGAAAGTGTCAATTTGTGAAACATACAGAATGATGCTTCTTATGTAACAAAGAACACGCTCCTGGAAATTTGGGATAATTTCAGAAAAAATGTAGTTGATTTTTGATAGATTTTGAGACACACTGGTATCTAAACATTAACATGGTTCAAAGTAGTTTAATCACAATTTAATAATGCAAAAGGAGAAGGAAAGAAAGATCTTATATTTCCACCTAAATCTGACCATCAACTCAAAAATAAACAGATTCAGTCAGGAAGACCACCAATTATGCAGTCTTTCTGCTTCAGAAAGATTAATATTGGGCATTTGTTAGTGTAATACATAGTTTATTAGTAATGGTTTTACCGCAGTTAGGGTTGCCCTGCTTTCTGGATCCAGCGATCTCGTTGCCATATTTGTCCACGCACCAACACTGGCCGGTGCTGCCATGACACTGGGTTGGTTTGTAGTAGCCCTCCTCAGTGCAGCGAGGAATATAGGAGCCTGGAAGCATTTAAAAAAGAAGAAAACAACAAGAAAAGGTTAAAAAAAAGAAGACAAATTGGAAAGAAAATAAAGTTAAGTGAAGGAAGAAAGAAAAGATTAAGAACATTAAGTTTGTGAGGATGGAACACGCTGTATAATTCGATTGCTGCTCGGGAGAGGGTACGTGTTTTCGTCCGGAAGTAGAAA